TAATGCAGAATTCTTTTATATGAGCTACAAGTCCAATCTACTTTATCCATCGAACATTATCAGAGGGAGGTTCCAAGATAATGAATTTCTACTGACTTCATCAAATGATATTATGATTAAGGTAATTATTTATATTTAATTTTAAGTATTTAATAAAAATATCACTCAATTATGTCTTATAAATAACACGTTATTTCAATGAGTCTCGATACATTTTAAATAAATGAGTGAAAGCGATGAACTTCTTTTTATCTTTTGTCTGTAACCAAGATTTTCTTTATATATTTTTTTCTTTAGGGAATAGAAATCATCATGAGAATTTTTGATATAACATATCTTTATAAACATTTCTTTGTGACTTACGAATATGAATTTATTATGGAAGATATTGAGAACATAAATATTGAAATTGAATACAAAAATATTACAAATACAATAGAGGTAAGTTATAACACATCGTATAATGTAATTTAATGTATTCATATATCAATATATAAAAAGATTACATTAATTATTATTATTTATAACTAAATCATTACATTATTTTAAAAATTGCTTGTGTAACAAGAAATTGATTGAATATAATGTTATGTTTCCATAGGTTAGATCTAACGCAGTAAAGGAACCATTAAAAAAAAGGACAAATGATGTTAAATTTGCCGTTGGAATGATCGTAACGCATACAGAAAAAAATAGTTTCTTTCTTGATAATCATTACGGTGTAATCATTGGATGGGATCGTGAATGTGACATGAAAATCGAAGACAAATTGAACAATACTATTATGTTTCCATATCTACATAAATGCGAGGATTTTTATCACATTTGCGTATGTCAACAATTTCCAGCCAATGCCCATCAACCGTACTACATTATTCTCACCAAGAATGATATAGTATGTTATGTGCAACAAGGTATAATTATTAGTAGCATTCTTATAAATGACATATGTGTTTTATGATTTTTTGTCTGTACAATGTAAAATATATCTATTTTAGATCAACTATCCATATCCCCACCCAAAAGAATCAATAACGTAGAAATTGGAAGATACTTCTCCAGCTTCGAAGGCACTTATTACGTACCGAATGAAAGCTTAAGAAAACATTATCCAGAAGATACCGCTGCAATAGCCAAAATACTTGCCAATCAATAGTTTTTATTATCTTAAAATGTACAATTTGTTGTATATATATTATAAAAGAATTTTTTTTTTGAAAATAATTTAAGAAATTAAAGATATATGTAATTATATCGAATTATGTGCGTGCCATTTTTTTACATTATAAAAAAATATTTTCTGCTGTAGATCTAATTGAGTAAAAAAATAAAGACTTATATTCTATAAAAATCTATGTATGACTTATTAATATGAACTTAAAAATTAAAAAATTGAAATGCAAGAGTTTGAAAGAGGATCATTGTAAATAAATGATATCAAAATTATGTATTTTCAAGAATTTCGAAAAATTTTTTCTCAAGGATAAAGATTGTTATATAGCCTTAAAAGCCTTCTCAAAGAAATTAAATGTTTTATAAATATTTTAAAAGGCATATTTCTAATTCTATGGCATTGTTTAATATAATTTTTGAAAGTTGAAATATTTCTTTGTCTTAATTTTAGATGTTTTAAAGCGAAGGAAACTATAACACAAATAGACGAAAAAAGAATCGTTTTACTATTTAAATAGAAGCAAGTGCAAAATATATCAAGAATCTATAATATTATGTATTTCTGATGTCAAACAATAAATCTTATATTTTAATTTAAAAAAAAAGAAACATTTTCTTTCTGAACATTACTTCCACAATCGTGAAGTCTATGATTTATTTTATTACGGATATGACCTAAATAGAAACATTTTTATACCATCATTGTGGTAAAATTGAAGAAATTAAATTGTTATTAACATTACAAATTAATATAATTATTGTATAGTTAATGCATAGTAAATGTAAACTATTTTCGGGCAACCGAGTTACAATTTGTAGAATTAAATATTATTTCAAAATAATTTTTTGATATTTGAAAAACGATATTGCTTTTTGTACAAGCAGAACAAACTTGAAACATTTTTTTATCCTTGGACTCGCTCTTTTTCTAGGTGGATTTTTGTAATTGTGTCTATTACGTATTCAAAATATCAATATAATTTGATTGTAATAAAACATATGCGCACAAATTACCGCGCTGGCTCTTGATTGCCTTTTATCTCTTTCGTATCAATCCATTTTATTTCTTTGTATTTATAATTTATTTAGATAAATTTCTAGAAAAATATATAATTTATATAATGATTTAAATTAAAAATTTTATGGTCACGAAATATCAAAATAAATTATGCGATATATATTTAAAACTATTAAATTTTTATTGAGTTTACTAAAATATGTAAACTTGTTTATGTGTAAAATAAATAAGTAAATCTATGTTTATGAAAGACATAAAATATTTTCTGTTTAAAGATGTCAAGATGACATCGATATTCGAGGTGGCAAAAGTTACTGGTCCACCCTATATATGTGATCATTCACACAATATACATATTTTCTTATAAAATACATTTTTTTTTATTTTAGAGTTTATATCGATACATCCACGAAAATTGATTCAAAATGACTACGAAGACATTATGTACCAAATAAAATCCTGGCAAAAATTATTCATGGGAAATCGTTCCTATTTTGAAAATACTTTCCAGTCAGAAATGTGCATTATAAAATGTACAATTTCTAATATAAATATATCAAAATTATGCATAAATAATTTCTTAATTTCTTTTATAAAGATATTGTTTCACTTTTAAACATTGTAAGATTAAAAATGCAATGTTAACACAGTATTACAAAAAATAAAAAATGTTAAAAATACTTGTAAAATTATGTCACCGTGTGCGTGTCATTAAATTTTTGTGGTTCTTCTTAATAACTAATCAAACTCTGATATCCAGGAATTGACACGAATTTTTGTAACAGTTTTGTCAACACCGCGTGATTCCCAGTTTAGCTTTTATCATGTGCAATAAACGTATTACAATTCTATAAATTTCATGAATCTTACGCTATGTATCAAATTAGGCATACGTATTTTACGCATCTCGAAAATTTTTGTCAGGCCGATCAATAATCGAATGAAACGCAATGCATTGTTATAGCATCGTTAATAGAAATATTTTAAGATCAAAATTATTTGCTCAAATATAAATGAGATTGTTTGCTTTTATATACAAATAGTACATGCTCGTGATTCTTATTTGTTCTAGATTACAAGAAAAAAGAATAATTTTGCTTGCATATTCAATTAAGTTAGTCAGAAATATTTATAATGTAAATATCTATGTATCACATTTTAATATGGAGGGCCAGTTTCAACAAGCGTGCATGCGTGCCCGCGTGCAGGTATAAAACTTTAAAGGCGTAAAAATATTGCACACAAAGTACAAAAATATAAATGGCTATAAATTAATGATTGAAAACAAAAATTTTTGATATATACATTATGCATTGTCTCTAAACCGACAATTTTTGAATCCTCTTGGTTTTTTACATGCCAACATGAGGGCGTAAAAATTGTTCTTACACGTTACTAGTTATATAATATAAATATATGTATAATATATATTTATAATAAATTTTTTTTTTATTAATAAAGCTATATGAATAAATATTTCTTTAAATGATTAAAAAAGAATTGTGTATACAAGAGACTATTAGAAACGGTGATACATAGTTAATAAATGAATCGGCTTTGAATAAAAGTTTCAATCTTTTTTACTTCGGAATTAATCACGAATTCTTAATGGCAAGCAAGAAACGATTGATCCGAGGATCAATCGATCGTCGGTGATATTACGCGTGATTTTCCGTGCATGTGGGAATTTTTAAAAAATTTATTTTACAAGTAAAAATTGTTAGGTGTACAGATTCTGCAACATTACTTCAAAAAGTTCTATAAACATAAATTTATATGATGTCTAGTAAGATGATAGAATTTTAGAAATTTTCTTAGACAAAGATAAAAAGGAAGTTTAAAAAATGAAGAAGACTGGACAACGAAGTAAAGACCAAAAAAATTGTGTATATAAAATATTTGTTATAGTCTCAGGTAACAAAAGTTTTACTGCTATTATGTTCATACCTAGAGAAGAATAGGTCAATGGAAAAGCATAACAAAGACATTTTCCAAAATCAGATACTTTAAAGTATATTACTCGGATCGAACAAACATACACATACAATTAGGCTCACCATAAAGGTTTATGACCAGAAGAACCGATTTTGCGCTAAAAGCGTTTTTTAACTGAAACCGAACCTTATGCGATCTTTGGAGGTAAGAAATAAAAAGATGGGAGACTTATTAATCAAGAAATTATAAATTATATTGAATTTCTCTTATTATAAAAATTAAAGCAAAGTAAAAAAATATATATAATGTTATTAAATTATGCAGTATATATTATAATAAATTTATGATTAATAATAATTATATTCAAAAGTACGGAGAGAAAAACTGTGCATTACATGAAAATGAATGTGTATGTCTATATAAATGTGTATAATTACACAGATCTGCATAATTTTATATTTTTTCTGCGTTCTAAAAAAACACGTATAGTTTTCTATAGTTCTTGGGCACTAACTCCAAATTTGCAAGACAAAAGATAACACTTTTCTACAAATATAATTTTTTACAAATATAATAAAATATGATCTTGGCATTTTTTAAATTTACTATTAAAACATTTACTATTAGCAATGATTTTGCAGTCGGACTGCATGGGGCAATCGTTCTATTTGATACACTGCGACTACACCTAAAAATAATGCGCGCCTGAGGTTTCAACTGGCCGGGAGTGTTTCAATCTCATTTTTCTCAAAAACTTGATGTGATAGGCCATTATGCCTTGCGAATTTGGGTTAGCGCACAAAAGAATATAGGAAACGATTTGTTTTTTACAGACCGCAAAATTATGCAGATCTGTGTTATTGCAGATGTTACAAATGTTTGAAAATGTTAGCCAGAAATCTGATTTTTGGTTATTACAATAATAATTAATAAAACAACATAAAATTTTTCAAAATTTATAAATGAATAAAATGCGTTTGTAAGTAAAAAAGATCAGATTATTTTCTCCTATGTTTATTGATAAAGAAACGATGAGAAAATTGAAAATAAAATTTGACGCTCAAATATATTATTAAATTAAAATTGAAAATTTGAATTCTAGAGTTTACTGTGCAAAGTCTGAGCTATGAATACTGACATTCGTCTATTCCGATAATTTCACGCGTACTTCACGAACATACATGATTTATTTATTAAATTTATAATTTTGTTTTTATTTATTAGATTTTTGCAATTTTTCGCAAATGAATAATTATAATTAAATATAAGAATAATAAAAAAGAGACAAAAAGAATTTTGATTAAAGCATAATGACGAAAAGAAAAATAAAATAAAGATTTACGCAAAATTTAATATTTGTTTATATTATCAAAAAAAGGGAAAACAAAGAAAAAAATTATTTTATTAAAACTCAGTATTTGTTGACACGACAAATGCAAGCACAAAATAAAACGGTAATGGTTTACGGCAGCAAATGCTAATTTTAATGCAATTACTCCGTGGGATACTTTTACGTAAATACATGCCATAAAAAATTTAATTGAATGTCCACTCGCAATGCACAATTAAGTTTTTGAAACGTTTTCATTAAAACATAAATTTTGGATTAATAACGGATCAGTATGATGCAAATAAGAATCAAGGCTGAGTATATATTAAATTAAATCGTAATAGATTCATTATCAGCTCAGCGTGCAAAAGCAGTAAGCATATTGATTGCTGATAGAATTCTCTCTTTTTTGAATAGATTTTTTTTTTATATATCCGATTTCAATTTGCATCTTCTCTATTGATTAAAAAAAAATGTAACGAATCAAAAGTTTACTGAAGTCCCCCTATTAATCTCAGAAAGCGTTGCTTGAAAATAAGAGGTCTTGAATTTTGCGATATCAGAGAAAACGTTCATTTGATATCAATTATGATTCGATATAATTCGATGCGCTCGACCCTAATGGTATAGAGTTGATTTTAATTGACATCTTAAGATTATCACAGCGCACATATTGCCCGAGGATGATTAGTCGAGTAAGTGCAATGCATATGTTATATCGAGATTGCGTATTTCTATCAAAATGCGTAATCATTTTTTTATCTTATTAATTTTTACAATAAGCAAATCATTTGCTCTCCGCTTGTCAATCGGTCGCTTTTAAAATGTGGAATATAAGCGTTTGAGGGGATGATAATAGTACTATCTTTACTGGTTGCTTTTTGAACTGTGCATTAAATTTTATTTAAGAAAAAACTGTCCAGTGATTTTGTTAAAAAGGATAGTCTCTGTATTTTCCTGGATTTACTATTCCCGAAAATTAATCTCTTAAGACGTCATTGAAATTACATTACATAGGCCATTAAAATCCCCAAACCGATTTTCTTGTTCTTTCATTATATAATAATGAGCAACTGAAAATATCAAAAGAGCGAAAAATCCCTTTGAAATAACATTAGAGCAAAATCTTAAACGTTATAAATAGTGAAAAGAGATTGTCTCGAATTTTTCTTTAAACAATTATTCATTCTTGCGTTATCTTTTTAGTTTCATTGACCAATCAAAACCAACAACTCTGTGTTCTCTTTATCCTGATTGGTAAGTCAAACGTTTCGAAGCATTTCTAACACTGAGCAAAGTGCATCTGAGTCTACACCATATCAAACGAAGTGCACGTTACAGACGCATGGCGACAGTTCTAGAGGCTACAACAAACTTTGTGCGCTCACATTTGTGATTCGTTATATATACATATAAGTATATAAATAAAATTAGTGATACGAAACCAGTAAATAACGCTAGTTGCCAGTTGATTTGTGTATTGTTGAATTTTTTCCGATGGCTACGATAACACAATTGTCCGACGATGTGATTGCTATTATTCTGGAAAACGGAAGCTTGGAGGATATTATGAATTTTAAGTCCACGTGTAAAAGATTCCAGCAGATAACGCTGTTCCAGAAGTTTTGGGAAAAAAAATATTATGAGAAGTATTTTTTATTTATAAGTTTTTTATATTAATTTATTTATATTTATTTAACTTTCGGTCGATTTTCGTCACTCAACAAAGCAATAATAAAACACAAAAACAATAGTAAAGAAGTAAAATTAGAATTATTACGCTGTTACATCATTAATTTAAATTGTGTGTGTGTGTAAGTGCTTGTTGAATCAGTGGAAATTAAGCACATTTCTAATATTACAATTTAATAGGATTGAAGTGAAAAATCAAGATTTAGTAAAGTCAAAATCTTCATGCATCTAGAGGCTTGACGAGTCACTATAATCTACATCGATGAAGTCTAAGTTTCGCGCCGTTTGATAAACATAGCTTGATATTGTTCGTAGCTAATTATACGTTTTTTTATAGATTATAATTTTAATCTTTCTTTAATTAGATTTTATTATAAAATTATGAACATAAAGATTATCCTATTTATTATTATTGTTTTTAGTTATAATACACTTAAAAATGTGTGTGTATCGTTTTTCTAAATAAGCTATTTTAAATTATTAAAAAATATAAATAGCAAATAAATTTTTTTACTGCTGTATTAGTGGGATTTTTTATACTTGTATTATTTGGTTTGATTTTGTGATTAAAAAAAAGTTTATTTTACAGTGTAAGACATAAAAAAACATTAAATTAAAGTACTCTTACGATTTTTCATATTTTAATTTTAGAATTTGCAATAATACGATTATGTATAAATATTTATAATAATATTCGTAATAAATATATATATATATAATAATATTCAAACACTTGTTACATTTATTCGTATCGAAATTGACTTATAAAATATATTTTTACCTTTCATAAATTTTTCTTGTAACTTTCAACCTTTATGGTTTTTACAATTTTATAAAGCATTATATGTTTTTAGTTATAATACACTTAAAAATGTGTGTGTATCGTTTTTCTAAATAAGCTATTTTAAATTATTAAAAAATATAAATAGCAAATAAATTTTTTTACTGCTGTATTAGTGGGATTTTTTATACTTGTATTATTTGGTTTGATTTTGTGATTAAAAAAAAGTTTATTTTACAGTGTAAGACATAAAAAAACATTAAATTAAAGTACTCTTACGATTTTTCATATTTTAATTTTAGAATTTGCAATAATACGATTATGTATAAATATTTATAATAATATTCGTAATAAATATATATATATATAATAATATTCAAACACTTGTTACATTTATTCGTATCGAAATTGACTTATAAAATATATTTTTACCTTTCATAAATTTTTCTTGTAACTTTCAACCTTTATGGTTTTTACAATTTTATAAAGCATTATATGCAATCAGTTCTATTTATTTGGAGGTTATAAAGATTCAACATATCTTTTATTTTAAAATTTTCTTTCAGTTTTTATTTTTATTTTAATGGTATGTGTAGGATGAAAAATATCCCTACACATTTAGTTCTCACTCGATTTCTCTTATTTAAATATGATTTAAAGTAACAAACTTAAATGATGCGAGATTATCGCAGCAGATATATCTCGATAACACATTGTGTATATATGTGTATCGTATAAATTGCTATCCATTTCTATTGTGATAATCATAGTTTTTTTTTTTTGGGATTAAATTATATCTTTCTTTTAAATAAAAAAATCTATATTGTTATTTATAAATTTTTTAATTTGTTCCAAATATTAATTTATATGTAATTATAAAATTTATATATATTTTGAAAAGACTTTAAACTTATTTTCTAAAATTTATTGCGCGCTGATGTATATTATAACGTTGTTTAATATAATTTTCTTTCTTAATTTTAGCTGTCCTACTGCAGAAAAAAAGTATAACAGAGAAAAACAGAAGAAAATATTTCACCATATCAAATTCAAAGAAAGACTAGAAACAGGATTATATCATATTCAAAAGTTACAATATTATGCGATTATAATATCGCAAAATAAGTTATGTAATACTGACAAAGAACAATTGGAACGTCTTCTGCGTTCAATTACTGAAGATTCCACAATGTATTATTTTGTGTGGGATGCGATAAACAGAATTTCTGCACAAACATCATGGTAAAATATTCAATAAACTAAATTGTTATTGATATTATAAATTAATGTAATTATTGTATACTTAAATTTTTCATTTTTTTTTAGCAAGCTAATTATACGTTTTTTTATAGATTATAATTTTAATCTTTCTTTAATTAGATTTTATTATAAAATTATGAACATAAAGATTATTCTATTTATTATTATTGTTTTTAGTTATAATACACTTAAAAATGTGTGTGTATCGTTTTTCTAAATAAGCTATTTTAAATTATTAAAAAATATAAATAGCAAATAAATTTTTTTACTGCTGTATTAGTGGGATTTTTTATACTTGTATTATTTGGTTTGATTTTGTGATTAAAAAGAAGTTTATTTTACAGTGTAAGACATAAAAAAACATTAAATTAAAGTACTCTTACGATTTTTCATATTTTAATTTTAGAATTTGCAATAATACGATTATGTATAAATATTTATAATAATATTCGTAATAAATATATATATATATAATAATATTCAAACACTTGTTACATTTATTCGTATCGAAATTGACTTATAAAATATATTTTTACCTTTCATAAATTTTTCTTGTAACTTTCAACCTTTATGGTTTTTACAATTTTATAAAGCATTATATGCAATCAGTTCTATTTATTTGGAGGTTATAAAGATTCAACATATCTTTTATTTTAAAATTTTCTTTCAGTTTTTATTTTTATTTTAATGGTATGTGTAGGATGAAAAATATCCCTACACATTTAGTTCTCACTCGATTTCTCTTATTTAAATATGATTTAAAGTAACAAACTTAAATGATGCGAGATTATCGCAGCAGATATATCTCGATAACACATTGTGTATATATGTGTATCGTATAAATTGCTATCCATTTCTATTGTGATAATCATAGTTTTTTTTTTGAGATTAAATTATATCTTTCTTTTAAATAAAAGAATCTATATTGTTATTTATAAATTTTTTAATTTGTTTTAAATATTAATTTATAAGTAAGTATAAAATTTATATGTAATGTTTAAAAAGTATATTTTCTAAAATTTATTGCGTTGATATTATGGCATTATTTAATATAACATTTGAGAATTTTCTTTCTTAATTTTAGCTGTCCTACGGCAGAAAAAAAGTATAACAGAGAAAAACAGAAAAAAATATTTCATCATATCAATTTCAAAGAAAGAATAGAAGTAGGATTATATTGTATCCAAAAATTACAATATTATGCGTTTGTGATGTCGGAAAATAGATTATGTGATACTGACAAAAAACAATTGGAGCGTCTTTTGCGTTCAACTGCTGAAAATTCTATAACGTATTATTTTGTGTGGGATGAGATAAATAGAATTTCTGCACAAAAATCATGGTAAAAAATTCAATATATATAATAAACTAAATTGTTATTGATATTATAAATTAATGTAATTAATTATAATTGTATGATTAATATGTAAATTTTTTTAGCAAACTGTTTTCTAATTTGACACGTGAATATAACTTTAAACTAATTTTTTACTACCTGAAACAGTATCGATTTATATATAAGCAAATGAAATTTATGAAAATGCCGAAGATAAAATTGCTTTTGGAAAAACAACTTACGATCGTGGCGCAATATTTTCAGCCACATGTCTCTTATTCGGCTGTAAAAACGTGGTTAGATGGAATAGCGCAAACAGTACTATCTCGTCTGAAAAATAAATATCCAGCTCATTCAATTTGCTCTACGACTTTAGAACAATTTTCTTTTTGGAGAGATAACAATATTGATGATAATTTCTGGAATGAAATAGAATCTAGACAAATTATGTGGATTCTCGAAAAATATATATTTTCCGAGTTAAAGATCTATAAATGGCATCAATTATTAATAACATCAGATCTCAAAGCCGACTGTATAAAATATGTAAGTTATTTTAAATTATGTTAAATTATAACAATAATCTGCGCTGCACAAATATAACTATAATTTTTGTATCTTATAAATGTTCAACATATAACTTTTTAAATATAATTTAACATAGAATGCAGAGTGTTTTCGAAGACATCTATTGACTGTCACGTATCACATCGTAGCTAGAAGACTCGGCATATGTAGCATTCTGGGAATAAAAGAAACCGATATTGCAATCACATGGAAACCAAAATAGTAAGTATAATTTTAATTTATTGCTAAAACTTTTTTAATATTTATGGATATATACATTGGGAGGGGAGGAGGGGGTCCGTTTGCCGACATTCCCGATTGTTTACAGAGCGATTGCCTACAAGTACATTATTGCGCACATTTAATAATTAAAAATACGAACGTACGTTTGCGCACGTGACCTTATTATGCATAAACATATGACTTCATTATGCACATACAGATTGCACACATGATATTATTGCACATATAACTTTATTGCATACATACACATTGCACACATAGCCATATTGCACACATAAAAATAAGCTAAAAATTGTGCAAATTAAAAACTTGCACATTGCTTTCTCATTTTATGTTGCTCACAAAGCTTAAGCTCTTTAAAGCAAGCGGGTCTTTCAATTTTCAAAATTTCATGAAAAATGAACCCTTTCACCAATTCTCATCAAATTCAATATCATCCATAATGAACTTTTTTACCGATCCTCACCAAATTCAATACCAACCACCCTCTGTCTGTGCACGCTTTAACTTCTGCAAATTTCGAGATATCGGGCTAAATTTTTTAACATGATAGAGCTTCTTCTATGAGAAAGCCAAAATTGAAAAATCCATTTGCTCTGAAGAGAAACTTTGTGAGCGAAATAAAACAATGAGAAAGCATTGTGCAAGTTTCTAATTTGCACAATGTACATTTTTTTAAAATTTTATACTGAAAAATTTGCGATTAAATCTCTTCAATAACTTTTAAAAATGTAGTTTGTTATGCAGTTGAAATTTATGCATAACATTTTTAAACAGTCTATTGCAAATTGTTAGAGAAATTATGAGTTTTAATTACAATGAACATTCTTTCTATATGTTTAAACGCATATATGTATATGTATATATAAATGTTTTTTTTTTTATTTTCAGTAATACAAACATTTGGTATCATGCAGAATATTTTCATATGAGCCAGAACTCCAATCTATTTTATCCATCAAACATTATCAGAAGCAGACAAGAGAATGATGAATTTTTACTACTGAAAAATTCATTAAATGAGAAATTCGATTTTTCGGTTAATATTTTTTTATATTTAATTTTTTATATTAATTTTAAGTAGTTAATAAAAATAACAATTAATTATAAGTCTTGTAACTAACACGTTAATTTAATGGGACTCAATACATTTTAAATCTATGAGTAAAAGTAATGAAATTCTTTTTATTTTTTTGTTTATAATTGAAATATTCTTTACATGTCTGTTTTTTTAGATAACACAACAGATAATGTTCAATTTTTATTTGGTATTAATACGTTATCATAATATATGTTATGATTCAAATTTCGGCATCTTCAAAACTTTCCTAGTCCGACATTTTAAGAAACATGTTAAGGACATAAATATTGAAATTGAATATAAAAATATTACAAACACAATAAAGGTAGGTTATAACACATCGTATAATTTAATTTAATATATTCGTATATCAATATATGAAAAGATATTATATTAATTATAATTATTTATAACGTAAGTCATTACATTATTTTAAAAATTGCTTGCGTAACAAGAAATCGATTGAATTTGGTATTATGTTTCCACAGGTTAAATTTAACGGAATAAAGAACCCATTAAAAAGGACAAAAAAAGTTAAATTTGCCGTTGGAATGATCGTAACTCATTCATGGAAAGGTTGTTCCTTTCCTTATAGTCATGACGGTGTAATCATTGGGTGGCATCGTGAATGTGATAGAACGTTCCAGACCACATTGGAACAGACTAATATGTGCCCATATTTACAAAAATGCTATGGACATGATCATAATCACGTCTGCACATGTCAACAATATTCAGCCAATGCCCATCAACTGCACTATATCATTCTCACTGAGAATAATAGTGTATGTTATGTGCAACAAAGTATGATTATTAGTAGCATTCTTATAAACCACATATCTGTTTTATCTGTATAATGTAAAATATATATTTTTTTTTTAGATCAACTATCGATACGTCCACCAAGAAAAATCGATAACATAGAAATTGGAAGATATTTCTCCAGTTTCGAAGGCGCTTATTACGTACCGAATGAAAGCTTAAGAAAACATTATCCAAAAGATACCGCTGAAATAGCCAAAATACTTGCTCAACAATAATTTTTATTATCTTAAAATGTACAACTTGTTGTATACAGAGTGTCCTAAAAGTCCTGCAACGGTCAAACATCTTGAAAATAAAGCATTTTTGAAAAAATATTTTAGATAAAAGTTATAGGATTTTAATTGGCGCATTAAGTAGCAATGTTAGTATGACTTTAATAGCATTGTTAAGATCACATAAAATTAATTAAAATTTTTAAATGGAAATCCTTATTTTTCATTGCATATTCTTATATCTTAAGGGCTTTTCAATACTCTATAATAAAGTTCTGTTCTATAAAGTATTTTCTGAGTTATGAGACTTGAAAGGTATAATACCGCCAGGATTAGTATTAGAAAGTAATTTTGATGTGATCTTAACAATGCTATTTAAAGTCGCACTAACATTGCTACTTAAAACTACTGCGCCACTTAAAACTGCAATTTTTATTTGAAACATTTTTCTCAAAAATGTTTTATTTTTGAGATATTGAGAATTATTTTTGATAACACTTTTCGCAAAAACATATTTAACTCTCATTTAGGAACGATATATATATGTATATAAATATAGGATATTTTATAAATTTTATAAATCTTATGTTGCAAAATATATGTTTTGTTATAAATTTAATTGAGTAAGAAATATAAATAATAATAATTTATATTGCATAAAAATCTGTAAAATCTGTTTAATAAATATTTAAAAATTAAAAAATTAAAATGCAAGATTTTGAAAGAAAGAGGATTATAGTAAATAAATAATTTCAATATTCTGTACATGAAAGAATTTTGAAAAATTTTTTTTCACGAATAAAAATTGTTATTAAAGATCAGCATTAAAGATTCTCAAAAAATGTAATTAAAAATTGTATAAGTATTTTAAAAGACGTATTGCTAATTTTGACATTGTTTAATATAAAATTTGAAAGTTGAAGTATCTTTTTGTCTTGACTTTAGATGTTCTAAAGCTAAACAAACTACATATAACACAAACAGACGAAAAAAGAATCGTTTTACTATTTAAATTGTAAAAAACAAATGAAAGCGAGTGTAAAATATATCAAGAATCTATAATATTATGTGTTTATGATGTCGGATAATAAATTCTTGCATTTTAACAAAGGAAATACATTTACTTGTGCATTCCACAATGAATTCTATGATTTATTACTTTGTTACGGACATGACCTAAATAGAAATATTTTTACACAATTATTATGGCAAAATTGAACAAGACTAAATTGTTATTAACATTACATATTAATATAATTATTGTATAGTTAATGTATAGTAAATGTAAACTTTGGTAATTATGCATAAAGTGGGCAATCTCAGCTTGACCTTGATATATGTAATCAAGGTCATCGTCCTGAGTGACCTTGATCTTGAATAAAGTGACGGTCACGATCCGTTCAAAAGTTATGAAGCATTCAAGTTTCCGTTTTGTATAATACGAAAGCACGATACAATATTAATATCATTCGATTTGTTAATTAAATAATTTTTCAAAATTTAAGCTATCGACCAAATAAAAACCTCAAACAACTTTTCTTGTTCTTTTATTGTATTACAATAGGCAACTGAAAATCAAAAAGACGAATAATCCCTTTGAAATAATATTACAACAAAATCTTAAACGCCATAAATTTTTAGAGCAGTGAAAAGAGATTGTCCCAAATTTTTTTTTTGAAGAATTATATGTGTATTCATTCTTATGTTACCTTTTTATTAATCAATCAAAACCAAGAAATGTTCTCTTTATCCTGATTGGTAAGTCAAACGTTTCGAAGCATTTCTAACACTAAGTGCATCTGAGTCTACACCATACCAAACGAAGTGCACGTTACAGACGCATGGCGATAGTCCTAAAAGCCACAATACACATCGTGCGCTCACATTCATGATTCGTTATATATATATACATATATATAAGTATATAAATAAAATTAGTGATACGAAATCAGTAAATAACGCTTGTTGCCAGTTGATTAGTGTATTGTTGATTTTTTTTTTGATGGCTACGATAACATATTTGCCCGACGATGTGATTGTTATTATTTTGGAAAACGAAAGCATCAGTTTAGAGGATATCATGAATTTTAAGTCCACGTGTAAAAGATTCCAGCACGTGTCTGATGTTACAACTTAATAGGATTGTAGTAAAAAATCAAGATTTAGTAAAGTCGAAATCTTCATGCATCTAAAGGCTCGACGAGTCATTATAATCTACATCGATCAATTTCGAGTTTCACGCCGATAAACATATAACTTGCTATTGCTCGTAGCTAATTACTTATTGTGCTCATAAATTTTAATTTCAACTTCTCTTTATCTAGATTTCATTATTAAATTATGAGCATAAAAATTATCCTACATTTTTTATCTTTTTCTTTGGTTATAACATGCTTAAATGTGTATGTGTATGTTAGTTTTTTAAATAAATTATTTCAAATTATTAAAAATATAGGATGCAAATAAATTTTTTTACTGTAATATTTAGTAGGCTTTCTTATTTTTGTATTATTTTGATTTTGTAATAAAAAAAAGTTTATTTTATAGTATAAAACATAAAGAACACCAAATCAAAGTGCTTTTATAACTTTTCATATTTTAATTTTAAAATTTGCAATAATACGATAATTATATTCAAACACTTTTCTTACATTTATTTGTCTTAAAATTGACTTATAAAATATTTTTTTTCTCTTTCTGAAATAATTACATCATTTGAAACTTATGATGTAATCACATTTATTTTTTGTAATTTTTAACCTTTATGGTTTTTACAAGTTTAAGCATTATAGCAATCAGTTATATCTATTTGGAGATTGTAAAGATTGTGTGAACATATCTATTATTCTAAAATTTTTTTTTCAATTTTTATTCTCGTCTTAGTGGCATATGTAGAATGAAAAATATCCTTACATTATTAATTTTCACTCGATTTCTCTCATTTAAATATGATTTAAAATAACAAACTTAAATGATGCGAGATTATCGCAGCAGATGTATCTCGATAACGCATTGTGCATTTATGTGTATCGTACAAATTGCTATCTTTTGTGACTTTCTATTGTGACAATTATAGCTTCTTTGTTAAGATTAGATCATATCTTTTTTTAAATAGAAGAATCTATATTGTTATTTATAAATTTTTTAATTTGTTCCAAATATTAATTTATATGTAATTATAAAATTTATATATATTTTGAAAAGACTTTAAACTTATTTTCTAAAATTTATTGCGCGCTGATGTATATTATAACGTTGTTTAATATAATTTTCTTTCTTAATTTTAGCTGTCCTACAGCGGAAAAAAATTATAACAGAGAAAAACAGAAGAAAATATTTCAGCATATCGATTTCAAAGAAAGAATAGAAGTAGGATTATATTGTATCCAAATGTTAAAATATTATGCGTTTATGATGTCGGAAAATAAGATGTGTGATACTGACAAGGAACAATTGGAGTGTCTCCTGCGTTCAATTGCTGAAAATTCCATGATGTATTATTTTGTATGGGATAAGATAAATAAAATTTCTGCACAAAAATCATGGTAAAAAATTTAATAAATTAAATTGGTATTATAAATTAATGTAATTTACTATAATTATATAATTAATATGTAAATTTTTTCAGCAAACTGTTTACCAAATTGACACGTGAATATAACTTTAAGCTGATTTTTTGCTATCTGAAACAGTATCGACTTATACATAAGCAAGTAAAATTTATGAATTTGCCGAAGACAAAATCGCTTTTGGAGAAACAACTTACGATCGTGGCGCAATATTTTCAGCCACATGTGTCTTTTTCGGCTGTAAAAACGTGGTTAGATAATATAGCGGAGACAGTACTATCTCGTCTGAAAGATAAATATCCAGCTCATTCAATTTGCTCTGCGACTTTAGAGCAATTTTCTTTTTGGAGAGATAACAATATTGATGATAATTTCTGGAATGAAACAGAATCAAAGCAAATTATGCGTATTCTCGAAGAATATATATTTTCCGAGTTAGATATCCATAAATTGCATCAATTATTAATGATATCATATCTCGAAACTAAATATCAATTGTATAACAATAAAATATTTGAAAAAAATCTTAATTGTAGTTTAGGAAAAATTTTATACCGCAGTATGTTTTTTTTCTCTTTTTTTTATATTCGAAATACATGAAATTATTCCAGTTTTAGAATACATATTACGATACATAAACTAAAACCTATTTCTTTTTTCTTCTAGTTTAAATCTTATTAATATCAATATTTTTTTCCAAATACATGCTAAAATTATTGTGATGATATAATCTACTATATCTATATATATATAGTCTCGAAATTTTCAAATTAAATATATCTACATCAATTGGACCCCTTACTTTCGGCAACAGTCATACCACGTTGTAAAGCACCAGTTCTCGTCCGATCACTGAAGTTAAGCAACGTTGGGCATGGTCAGTACTTAGATGGGTGACCGCTTGGGAACACCATGTACCGTTGCCACTATTTCTTTTTTTTGCTAATTTAAATCTTATTATTATCGATATTTTTTAAAAATACAAGCTATTGTGAAAAGCAAAATCTATTTTATTTATAGTTGTTTAAAAATTCTCAAACAACGACGCGTTAGCATCGCGACCTTACTTGTGTACAAGGGCCGCAGTGTTACCAAGTAGCTTATCTGAAATCTTAAGTTAATAAAGTTTCGAATAAGATATTTCAAGAACTTAAACCGTAATCAAAAATTTAAATTTTTCTAATGTAATATAGATACACTTTTAATTGCGACCAGGGACCATATTCTTGAAAAATATCGCATATGATATTTGTCATTGCACAGCTAAAACGTATC